TTTCGATTCTTATTACAGCCTTAAGACAGGCGAAAACAGTTTTCAATCAGCTGGTTCACTCTTCCCTCGAAATCGAGAGAGAACACAAAAATCTCAAGGACACCCTCGAAGCTCTCTTTGATGATCAGAGTTCAGAGAGTGAACAAGATGAAGAAGAAGAAGAACAAGACGGACCACCGTCTCCATCTACCCATCGATACTGGGGTGACTTTCATGCCAATGCCCTTTCTCCATCCGGAGATGAATCCGAACGTTCATGGCCATCGTCTGATGGACAGAATCATCGCAGAACAAGGGCCAAGGCAAAATCAAGCTCCCAGGCCACCAGCTCACAAGCTATGCCAAAAGCAAAATCAAGACCTGATACCTCCACACCTGGAGATAATGGCATTGATGAGGAATTCCGAAGAGCCGAAAATAGGTTCTTGGGCATTTGTTCCAGCAGTGAAGAGGATTATGGTGATCCAGATGAACCGCATCCAAATGCCATCTGCAGGTCTTACAACCCAGACCTGGATCCTAACTGGAGATGAGCATTCCTCCAAATGAAAACACTTATGCTCTATCAAGAGCCAAGTGAGCCGGTGCATAATTCGATGTAGCAGGTAGAACAAACTTGATTATGTACAGGAGATCTCTCTGAAACCGAACATCATGCATGAAAAGGAGTAGCTCTCAGCTGTTCCTGAACATTAGAAATATCTAAGATATTATCTTTTTACAATGAGTCCAATACTCCGTTAACTTCGAGACAGTGAGCACTTTAATGAAAATGTATACGTGTGAACACGCGGCCATGCTTACAGTAAAAGAAAATTAGTGTCTGTTTGTTTGCCTAAACTCCCAAAGGGGTAGGTACTTTCAGCAATGGCATGGCTGTATGCTCACATGTATATATGTCCGTTGCTCGCCTCAAGTGGTTTTACCGACTTGACACAAGCTCTCTCTGCGTAGCAGAAACAAAACACTTGCTGTCCGTGTGCTGGGCGTTGCCTTAGATCCCACGGGACTCAAACTGGTCATACACTCCCACAGGAGTAACCCTAAAGGGGTGTATCGGCTCACCCCTTGAAGCTCCTTCTTGAGCCCTCCCTTTGTCAAAAGAAGCTCCCGAACCCGGGGTGTGAACATGGAGTTCCAACCCAGGGTTCGAACGTTTTTTGGGCGGCCCTATGCAAAGCAGACACAAGTCAGCGTACTCACTGTGAGTAGGAAAAGAAAGCGCTAGACCTGAGGAGCTTCTTGCACGTTGGCAGCCCCACTAACTGAAGCCAAGCCGGACGGTTAACAGCCAGCCTGTGAAGCAAAAGGAAGGCAAAAGGAAAACTGGGGGCTAAGGAGGTCATGGCATGTGGGGTATGCGAGAGCCAGTGCCATGCTAGCTCGGCACACTGCTCGGCCCAGTGCAGTCTACGACGTCCCGGCCGTATGCCTGCCTGTACTGTACCCCCTCTATATACAAACGCCTTCGTAAAAACACAGTTTCGCTCCAGGTTGCTCGGAGTTGCTCTCAAAACGTGACCAAACAACTTAAGTTGTGCCCTGTGAATGTGGTGGGTGAGCGGGGGCTGGTCGGCGAGGGCTCGGACTCCTTCGTTTCGGATGGTCTGTGCGTGGGGGTTGTCTGTAAGGATCTTGGTGTAGTAGGTGGCTTTGATCCTTTGGATCTTGCGAAGTGACTGTGAGTGAAAGGCCTCAAGCCTGTGGAGGTCTGCTGTGGTGAGCGCTGCGGACTCCATTCCGTAGGCAATCATGGGGATGAAGACCGCGTTGTAGATGCGCAGCTTCCATGCTACACTCAGGCCTGTGTGTCTCCAGAAGGCGTGCAAGGTGTTGAAGTGCTTCCGCGCTTTCCCCAATCTTGCGGTGATGTCTGCTTTGCTGGACGAGTCCTGGCTGAGGACAACGCCGAGGTACTTGGCCTGTGTGACTTCCTTCATGGGTTCACCTGTGAGGAAGTGTATGTGATTGACGGCCAGCTGTGAGCGAAGCAGTTCGCACTTTTTAAGATTCAATGAGAGGTTACTGTGAGCAGCAACTTCCTGAATCTTGTGCAGAATCTGCTGGCCCCTTTCCGCGGTACCTGTGAAGACGGCCATGTCGTCTGCGTAAGCGAGGTCGTAGAATGGTTGGTTCTGGCTGAAAAGCCACGGAAGCAGCTGACCGTTCTGCTGCAGCTCCGCGTCGACATCGGCCATGATCATGCTGTGGACCACCAGGAAGTTCTACTACTTTAGTTGTGCTGGCTAGGCGTGTATCCCGAAGGGATTAAACTCGACTAAGCGGAAGCCTTTTCATGGAGTGCCGTATGCCCACAAAGTCCGGGCAGCAAGTCCAGCAAGCATTACGAGGTTGATGGGTGGTCCAACCGCACCATCAACGAGAACGTAAAGCGATGCATATGCGTGGCAAATAAGCGAACCAGAGCAAGCAAAGAAGTATCAACGCAACGACAAAGAAAGCATTTGCATCTGTATGTGGCTTGTAGAGCATGCAAGAGAAGCTGCAGCGTTTTAGCAGTCGTGTACGGAAGCTGGGCGATGAAGGCCCAGAGACCAGCCCGATGAAAGCAGCATACCTAGAGCGTAAGGGCAGAGGGCCTGAGGGCGCAATACGATTCGGGATTTTCGGGCTGGTGTGAGACGCACGGTGAAGCACTGCACTCTAGATACGGCTGCCCCGAAGCCGGAACTTTTGACTTTCTTGTTACGGGGATCTTGAATCGTTCTTGTAGCCAATGCCGGTGAGACCGAAAAGTGTGAAATGGGCGGGAGGGTGAGGATTTCCAAGAAAGATGCCTAGCCAGCACAACTGAGCCAAATGTTCGCACGAACATAAAGTAGTAAAACAGACGTGAACAAGTACACAAACCGTTCTACTACTTTAGTTGTGCTGGCTAGGCGTGTATCCCGAAGGGATTAAACTCGACTAAGCGGAAGCCTTTTCATGGAGTGCCGTATGCCCACAAAGTCCGGGCAGCAAGTCCAGCAAGCATTACGAGGTTGATGGGTGGTCCAACCGCACCAATCTAGAACTACCCAGCAACCTCGCTAAGAAAACACCCCGAATTTATGTGAGGTTGGTGGGCACTCCATGCGAACGAATTTGCCACGGAAGCTGAACAGACGAGGGTGACACACTGATCATTGGCCGCGGTAGCCAAAGATCCTGAAGCGTAGCTGAAATGCGCTCATGCTGTAAACAATCGTCAGGCAATGGATGCTCATGTGGCCTAGACAGAGCATCTGCTTCATCGTTTGCTTCCCCCGGTATGTGCGATACGTCTGGGGTGACACGATGCACTGCTGCAAGAAGTGAGATCCGCTCCAAGAAAAAGCACAAGGGCTGACTGGTTGTCAAGGAGTCATTAACGCCTGATTCCGCACCCGTGTTATCTGAAAGAGCCCTGAGAGTGATTGGGATGCAACTGCATGGAAGCAAGGCAGATGCCGCCAATATCAGCGCTGCCTGTGCGAGAGCTTCATAACACGAAATCTCCCTTGCCATATCAGCTTGAACCCCAATGCCCAAAGCTAGGAAATCAGCGTGAGCAAAGGTTTGTTGAAACCAGCGATGACCTAAAGAGGGGTGGCGCACGTAGCCACCTATGCAGCAATGAGAGCCTTTGGCACTGGCATCTGCACGTGCATCAAATAGAGGAGTGGCAGGCTGCCGCATCGAGCGGAACGGTGACATATGCAACAGCCAATGCTCGAAAATGCCAAGAATGCGCAGCGAGTTCAAGCACAATTTCCGCTTCTTGCTGTTCTGACTTGAAACCCGAAGCCAAAGCCTACGTTCAGAAACCCGAACTTTCTCAAGATCCTGAAGAGAGTGCAAGTCTTGGTGACGTGCCGAAAGCAGTTTGGAGCCGAGCGGTATACCTGTACCTGGCGGAGTCACTGTGAAAAGCAGATCCGGCGACAAGTATCTAGCGATTTCATGCCAGCGCTCTGGCGGAATGCTGTAGTTCGTAGCAGCTGGGCTGTAGAGATCGTGATAAAAAGTATGCAGCATGCTCTTCATGACCGGAAAAAGGCTTGTAGCCCACAGCGCTAAGCCAATAAAGCGTTCCAAGTCCTTTTTCGTCAAGCGAGGGTTTTTACGCAAATCTTGCACCATGCCCAGCAGTTTCAAGCGTTTTGATTCTTTAAGCAACACTATACCGGCAGAGTACTGAAAGTCCCAACCTATCCAAGTGACCCGAACAGATATCTGCAGTTTGTGCCAGGAAAGAGGCACACCCATGATCTGCATGAACATGCAAATCATGGCACTCGTTGCTGGAAGAATGGACATCGCCTGAGAAAAGAGATAATCATCTACAAACAAGTGGCCTGTGTGGGCTATGTAGATGAGAATATGAAGAATGCGAAGGATGCACGAGCCGAGTCGCCCCCATCAGTGCTGGGCAAACGTGGCTCCGAATGGGCATGTGCGATAGAAATAGAGGGCATTTGACCCGTCTGGTTCCTCACATGTGAACCCAAGCAGTCCTTGTTCCGCATCCTTGACAACGCAGCGCTTATGAGCGCTTTTGATGTCAATCGAGAGTGCACCCTGAATCTGCGAGCATTCACGCAGGGGATAGGAATGCAAGACATCTCGAGCTGAGGGCATGTGCTGCTTCTCAGGAATGGTGCAATTTGCGTTTGTGCCACAAACCGAATTGTCAAGACAAAGCCGTCTTCGTGATTTACAAAACTGCCTATATCTAGAAGGGAAAACGTATGCGGAATATGTCCCGCAATATGTTCGCAATATGTGAGACGAGCAAAATTTGCAATCATAAGAACATCAAACTTATTCGCAAGAATATGCTCATCACTCAAGGAGTTGTGCAAACACTCGGACAGTCTTCTTTTTGCGCGAGCAACGGAACAGGGGTGATCCAAAAGCATGCAAACCGCCTACGTCCGTGGTAGCAACGCCCTCGCAAACGAGACGAATCTCAAGGGCACCACCGGACCCGTTTGCCCCCCTTTGCAGACGTCCGAAGCTCACGAGAAGTGAAAGGCGGGAACAGGGCCCTTGAAGTGGCACGCTAAGAGGCTCCAAGGCAGAGCGCTGGTATCCGAGCACCGCTGAGCAGCGATTTTCACAATGCTGTCAATGTTGATGACACGCCCTCCTACCATCCTGGCTGCAGCCGCACACTCGCCGCGACTGGGAAGGTCTGCGACGTTAGATGCCGATGGCACACGCTCAATCCAAGTGATAAGTTGGTCTCTGCACTCGCTTGCATAAAACGCGTGAGCCAGCGCCAGCAGCGCTCTCACGGGGCTGCTACCGCGGATCATGCAATATCGTGCGGACTCGTTATCAACGAAGAAAAAGGCCCTACGGCCCTTTGCGAAGGTTGCCGCATAATCCCTTGCAATCACCATAGCAAACGCTTCGGCCTGAGCGATAATCTGATCCTCTGTGTCCTGGTGCCACAGATCAATCAAGGAAGAAGGGATTTGACCCCCAGCAACTTCGCGCCTACCCGAGTCGGGATCAAGAACCACTAAACCCCAAGTAGCAACCCCTTGCTCATAGGCGGCGTCAGTGAAAATCACGAGGGGCCGTGAGCCCCCTTTCAAGCACATCGACTTTGGCACAAGAGCCTCGAGACAACACTCAAGGTAACCTCCCAGTTGCTTGACCTCGTCTCGCGTCCAGGCTCGGTTGGAGTAGACTAGGTTCGAAAGTGCTCGGCAAACAAGCTTGAGTGATCTACCTGACGCAAAGCCGACCATGAAGTTGAGCTGCCCCTGCAAAGACATGGCCTCTGCTCGCGAGAGTTCGCCACTTGCACACATCTGTTGCGCGACTAGCAGAAGCTTTGCAACTCTCGATGGTTTGTTTTCCAGGGCGATGCTGCCAAGATGAAGAGAGTCAAGAGAGAGCTGGACTCCCAACAAGTTGAACTGGCTTGCGAACGGCTTGTCCTTATCGCTGTCACGACTGTACCTCCACCCGAGAGTGTCAAGCAGCGCCTCAATTGAAACAGAGCATAGCCTGGCGGTCAGTGCCGGTTCAATTAAGGGAAAATCATCATAAAACACGCCGCCAATAACACCACAAAGAGTGGTTGCAAGATGAAGTAAGCTACGACTAATGCGGTTAAAGCTGTATACAGCCGCGCATGCCCCGAACGGCAGGGAGTTACTGACGAAGAAGCGAAAAGCATTCGTGAGCGGCTCCCGAACGAGGAGTACCGCCAGCCTAAGGCTCTGTGACGCCAAAGGTACCTGCTTATAAGCTTTTTCCAAATCGAGACACCGCCCTACCCATGCGCAGTCTCGCCCAAAATCCGGGCTGAGTTTCCCTCGAAGTTGTTCTCCGTTTCTGAGGAACACCACAACTACTCCTTTCTCGTCCACAGCATTGCAAATGAAACGGCACAAGGTAATGAAGAAGTCGACGTCGTGCAAACGCAGGCGATCAAGGGAATGAAAGGCTGCGTTGATGCCACTTTCTCGAAAATCATCAATGGGCCGGAACTTCGGATTCTCCGCACTACCTTGGACGACAAGGAACCTTCGGGTGCAGCAGACGGCTTCTTCACCAAGCGCTGCCCGAACTTGTTCTTCCGACTGGAATGGCCCTTTGAGAAAACCCTTATCAACCTCCTGCATAGTGCATTCCCAAAGCTTGCTCGTAAGATCGCCCGAGTCGCCGACATCAGGCGACTTCTGAAGCGCGTGATTACGCCAAACAGATGAGTCCAGGAGATCTTGCACTGAAGAAGTCGCGGGGACCTCTTTCCACTCGAACAGAGACGACTTGGTCGGTTTGCCGACTAGGTCGACGCCTTCCATGAGCTCACTGACCGAAACATCTGGGAAACCAGTTTCTTGCAACAGCTTTCTCCACAGCAGTATGCGTTTGCCTTTCAAGACCTCCTGAGCATGCTGTGGTAACGAAGTTTGAAACCTTGCTTCCTCCACTGAGAGCTCCTTCGCCATCTGATTCACCTTCTTTATGGCATTGATGCGTTTCTGAGCAACAGACGAAAGGCCTTTGGTAAGAAGATCGAAAATGTTTCTTCTCGTGCTGTCGTCGATCGCTGCTGCGTCGTCGAAGGGATGATCAAGCTTAAGGGCCTTGTGGGTGAACTCCTGCTTTGTGTGAAAGATGCCGAAAGTTGAGCAGCTTCCGTCGCTGCCCCCGTCACGTACAAGCTCGCGAAACTCACCCTGGGTGGGCCTAGAATCCCGGAACTCCTTAAACTCGGGGATTAACTGCGGTGCGCGGCGAGACTGCCGCACCGTGGGCCGAGGCAGGGGCGTGGGACACGAGGGCAGAGAATTACTCGCAAGACGACAGAAAGCATCACACAACTGGGGAGGATACTCGGCCTCGGAAGCTGTAGCGAAGGTCCAGCGGCCTGCTGCACGAGCCACTGCAAAGGGCAAATGAGTATGCTTCTTATCGCACTCACAAGCCAGTGGGCACAAGGCTTGCATCGAGGTGAGCAGCCGAGAAACCTTATCCCTAGCGCCCCCAAGCATGCATTGTGCGTAATCGACAGTGTGAAGGTCGTTGAAGAAGGAGGCTAAGGCCGGGGATTTGAGCTGGCGAGTGAAGTGGGCCAGCACAGACCACATCCAGCTCCTGACCGGATTCTCGATAGAGACATGCCAGCCTCGTTCATGGCACAATGCAAGCAGCCTAATCGTGAACTCTGAAAGAAGATTAGCTGAAGTCACGCGGGCCTGATCGCTGGGGCAGAGATCCGGCAGGCCAAGCACGTGTTGACTGGAACGCAGAGGTTGTGGCTGAGGCGCCCCAGCCGCCAAGAGGTGTGCTGGCAAAGGGCGCTCCCGTGCCCGGGAGCCAGTGCCGCAAGGCAGCGCAATGTGCACCAGAAACACGGGTGAGCACAGGAGACGCTTCACAAGCGCGTCCTGACAATGCCGAATGGTCAGATCGAGAGTCCACACCTGATGCAGAGGCGAATGCTTGTTGTGTGGCCCGTCGACGGCGAGCACCTGAAAACCTGCGGCGGCAAAGGTAGAAGACAGCCTGGCACACCCAGCGAAAACCTCGACGAACAGAGGAGTCGGCTGACTCCGGCTGGCAGCAGATGCAGGAGGGGCGGGTGGGAAAGCAGGTGTGGCACCGGCGGTCGAGGCATCTAAGGATTGTGCGTCACATGGTGCAGGCGAGACTGAGGGCTCGCTCGGATTACGGGGCGAAGGTGAAGGCAGCGGTAGCTGTGGGGGGGGCGGCAAAATGCCGACTATTGATGGCACTTGCTGTGCAGCAGCAGTTGCGGCGGACTGGGTCGGAGCCGGGTCCGGCTCCCAGTCGAAGTCGGATTGCAAGTGCATATTGGTAAAACCTGGAACGGGCAGCCTGAAACCGAGGTTGCACAAGAAGCTGCGATCCTTGGCAGGCAGGTCGCCGACACCACGAGTGCTGAAAGCAACCAACACGGTGCGGTGGCCCTCCACTGACACACGTCGTGCTCGCATGACCTGGCATCGAAGTAAATTGGGCCCCCTTCGAAGGAAAGGACCCTTGGTGACGGCGCGTCAAGTGGATAGCAGCGAACCTGGCCCCCTGAAAATTGCGTAAGCGGGTAAACAAAATTAAGTGAATTCTGAAGGTTGTTGGCGTCTCTGTGACGGCCTACGGGAAGTTCCTCGAAAATGGCGATGGTGCTGTACATAAACTCCGGGTGTGCCTCGGCGTTGACAAACTCACACAGAATCCTTGTGAACTCGGGATGCAAACGGCTATTTGCCCTCAACCCGACTAAGGACCCCCTAACGAAAGAGCCTGTTGTGAAGCAGCGGCCTTCGGCGGCCTGCTTGCCCTCTGGGAGCGGGTCACCTGGGACACTGTGGAAAATTGAAAGAATCCGTTGCACGGCATCGTTATGCCTGTAAGCCGAAGAACTGGAGTTCTCTGAAGCCTCGATCGGAAAACAGGGACCGCAGAAATCCCCCGTCTGCAACGGCGGGCCCTCGCACTCGGCTGGCAGCGTCACTCGCGAGGGCGGTGAGGTCAGAGGCAATCAGGCGCCGCCCTTGGTGCACGCGGTGTAAGAGTGGGGCTTGAAGCACTTCCAGCAGATGTGTCTGCCACGGCGGCAAGACTTGCCGTCCTTAGCAAATTTGCAACCATCCTTGTTATATGGGAAACAAATCGGAACACCTTCGGAATCCTTGCTGGAACAGCCATCGGGCAACACATAGGCAGCAGGAGGCGGCGGCACCTCTGAACCCTGATTCTGCTTGCCGCCGGTCTTGCCGTTTCCATCCTTACCTTTGCCTGTCTTACCTTTCTTGCCTCTGCCTTTGCCTCCCGGAACCCAGGTTTCGTAAGGCTCAACCCTGTACGGAGTTGCAGAAGGCGCGGCTCCGGGGATCACACAGAACTGCACCTGGGGGTGAGCTTTAAGGGCAAGAAGCTGGAGCTCCATCGGCTTGGAGCCGTCAGGCCGCACGCTAAGGGCACCTCTGGTTTCTTCTGCAATTTTGAGGAAAAGAACCTTGTCAGCCTCCTTGACTTGGCCCATGGTAATGCACATGCGACCCGGCACTGGTGGGCGTGAGAGAAGAGAGAACATCTCTTGGTGGTAGGCTTCCATGACTGAATAGGAGCAGAGTTGCGCAAGATCGTAACACAAGGATCTGCGCTGGAGCGCCTGACGCACCTGCAACTCGCCAGTCAAAGAACACTGGGCATCCTGGAACTTCTTGTTCAAGCGCAGGTTTCCACCATTGTCAAAGCTGATGGATAAATCGGATTTGCTCGAAACGATCTCTTGTGCCCTGCTGGTGTATTTCTCCCAAGGAAGCCAGATGAGCTGTTGGTCGGTGCCTTGCTGAAACACGAGATCTGTGACGCGATAGCTCGGCTCGCTGTCACTGGAGAAGTGCACCCCGTTGAGGCGCTTGCGTTGTTCCTCGATTCGCGTAGTCCTCTCAGCGACAGCCAAGCGGATTGGTTCTGCTGAGTCGTTTCTTTCCACCTTCTGTTTGAGCTCTCCCATTGCCGTGGTAGAGGCCTCGTACCACAGCCGCCTCGTCACGAAGAGCTCCTTCTGCGTGAGATCACGCTTCACGACTGTCTGGAGGGCATCGATCAGAGGCTTCTCGTCTGAGTGGCCCACCTGGAAGGGTGAGATAAAGGCTAGCGTGCCCATCGTTGTGACTCCTACAGACAAATCGGTGATCCTGGTCAAACTGGCAGGTGCCAAGCACGTATCGCTCTGGGGCAAGCACACAACGCACGACCCTGATTTGGGACTATGTGCCAGAATTCCGTGTCGGGGCGGTCCTGTGCTGCTTCCCATCAAGTCTAAGCACAAGTATCTAGGAGTGATGCTGTCTTACGACCACCTGGAACGGGAGACAGCAGCCTTTCGCAAGCGTTGCGCTCAGGCAAGCTACGCAAGGATCCAGGCGGCCATCAAACGTACCAGTAGACTTTCTTTGCGTTGCAGAGTTCGCTTGTGGAGAGCAGTGGTGTGGACCACGCTGTGCTACGGAATCGATTGCACAGGTCTGGACATTGTGGGACGTCGTCAATTGTACGCCACGGCAGTCAGACACTTGAGGGCCATTGCCAATTCGCCGTCCCACATAAGCAAGGAAACCACCTCAGACCTTCTACTTAGGTTGGAACTGCCGCACCCAATGGCTATGCTACTCGATAAGACAAAGGCCAGACATGACCGCACTTGCCAATCACAGGTCTTTACATTGCAACCTCCGGGTCTGACACAGGTCTGGGATTCCGTTCTGGTCTCGTTGGAAGTGCCAGGTAGGCAGACCCCTGCTACAACACATTCAGCTGCAGTGGTAGAACCGCCAGCTGCCTTGAACAACACGATGCAGGCAGCAGAAGGCTCACCTGAGCCCGAGGCCGAGATTTGCATGAAGAACTTAACTGCAGCACCGATCTCTACTCCCGCTGAGGCTATGATTACTGTGGAGACGCCTCCCCCGGCTCCAACCGAAACTGGTGCCCATGTTGATCTGGTGTGCCCTGTCTGTGAATATCAAGCTGCTGACACCACGGCCTTGAGGTACCACATGACCTCGATACACGGCCTTTCTGAGAGGGAGCTTGCCATGGCCACAGCTGCACCGTTCAAGTTCGAAGAACATTCGTACGCGGGCATGCCCACTTGCAAACATTGTCGTAAGTCCTTCTCTGGCATACCTCAGTTTCGTAAACATATAGAGGCCCAAGCATGCCCTGTACTGCACGGATACACGAACAATAGCAGGGATTACGGACAGCTTCCGCCGCTCCCGAAAGAAGCGAGCACAGAAAGCACTCCACTTAGGGACAGGCCGAGCACGCTTCAAAATCTCAGCGAGGGGGGCTGGCTGCAATTGGCTCAATCCCCAGGATTTCGGGAAGTCGCACTGGCACACTGCCCGCTTTGTCACCTTTGGGTCGCCAACAGTAGCGGTCAAGTTAAGAAGCATATGCGCACAAAACATGGGGACCAACAGGACTTGATTCAAGAGGTCATTGAAGTCTGTCGTAAGTCGTCTTACTTTATCCAATCCCCGTGCCAGTTGTGTGGCATTGCTTGGAAGGGGGCACGAATCCGCCACCGAGAAGCCTGCGCTGTGCTATTTGCTGCGCGGCTACTGGCTGCTCACCACGGCTATGTTTTCCGAGATGAACATGGATCCCGAGCCATCACCTCTGATGGAGTTCGAGTCGGTGTTCAACCAACCGCTGCCGAGCCCATTCCCGTCCTTCCACCACCCGCCGCCGATCCATCCAATGCCGCCAAAGCGAAGCGGGGCCCCGCTCAACCAAAGTCGAGGCCAAAAGTCGCAGCATCAAGACAAGGGTCAGGGCGGACAATGGGGCAAGGGACAAAACAAGGGCAAAGGCAAGGGCAAGAACCAACAGCCTTGGCCGTCGACTCAGAATCACACTTGGCAAATGCAGCAGACCCCATGGACTCATCCTTCGAGCTACCAGGGCTATCAGGGCTACCAGGGATACTCAGAGATGTATGTGACGCCACAGGAGATCCAGCTGCTCAGGCAGCTGTTGGTGCGGCACGAATGGGAGTTGGCAGCCCTTCGCGTGGATCGGGGATTTGTCCTCCACATGCGATCGGGTCCCGACGGTATCCTGAGGGAGGTGTTTCAAGCGAGCCGTCTCTGGAACGAGGCCAAGACGCAAGGCACCCTTCAGAACCTCACATTGCGCCAAGCATTGCTCATGAAAGTGTTTACCGTCCTGAAGGACCGCATGGAGCACTTAAACGAAGGCCACATAGCTACGGCCCGCAAGCACGGATGGCTCAGCCGAGACAGCATGCAGTGGCAATATCTGAAGTGGTCGCAGACTCAAGAATGCCTTATTCCGGAGGATCCGATCCGCCAGGTCCCACACGCCTCACTGGTTCAGCACATCACCTCGATCCTCCAGGCCCTGAACATGGACCACATGATTCACCGCTTCGCGGCGACCCGGAAACTGACCGAGAATGTCGAGAACACGATGCCCTTCCTGTTGCAGATCTCGCTTCAAGGGCAGACGGCACACCAGCTATTCCAAGCTCTTCAGGACTTGTGCGGAGCAGGATGCCTTCAGCTCATCGGCATGACAATGCGTCGCGAGCGCCTGGAGTTGCAGCCGCTAGCAAAAAAGATGAACTGGTGAGCCTGACGGGGCAGGGTGTAGGAGGAAGCTCCTCCTCGGCGGACTCGGGCGGGCGCTACACTCAGTTTGAAGCTGATGCTACGCGATCCAAAATTAGAGCATGGAAACTCCTTAATCAAGGTCGCAATAGCTGTTATGCCAACACCTTACTTTCGAGCCTTGTGTGGAGTGAAACCTTCCTCGGATGCCAGCTCTTCGAAGGTCCTCTTGGATCCTCTTTGCGATCCCTGGTTCAGGCTGGCCGAACTGTTGACATTTGGTCCGTGCTTCCGTGGATTAATGCAACCCGCTCCTGGCGGGCACCTAGGCAACAGCATGACATTGCAGAGTTCCTACTTTACATGCGTCCTCAGCTCAATGCATCTTTGATCGATGGTTCGTGGGGGGCTGCGGGGTCCGCGCCTCGTCGTGGCTTGGAGGTTGTGGATTGTGGATGATGGCCACACGTGGCCTATGCTGCTCGCAAACAGGCCCGCCTCAGCCGCTGATGATCCCACACCGTGTTCGGAGTGCTGCTTGCAAGACTTGCTATCGTGCTGGCATCAACAGGCGGAACCACAGGCTCTCCTGAAGCCGCCAAAGTTTTGTGCGATTCAAGTGGGCCGTTTTGACAGCACGAATGATGGAGCTTGCATTAAGACCGACTTCAAGCTTTGCCTGGAGCCCTTAGTGCACATTCCTGCTTTTCGCGACAATCTACAAGATGTGTACTTCGTTAAGTACTTTGTGAGAGCTTGTGCAGTTCATCACGGTCCTACACCCGACAGCGGTCACTATCGCTCAATTTTGATGCCACCGAATGGCGTGCTTGCGCAGTCCTTCTATACTGATGATAACGCCACGGCTCGCAAAGTAAAGTCCTCGGAGCTTGTGGGGATCCAGCAAAACGCATATATCATTTTCTTGCAGCGCGCCGACTGAAAACCAGTCACGCTTTTTGCTTAGTTGTGGAGTTGCTGTTACACAAACGTTGCTTCTCCTTTAGTCTTCACTCGTCAAACTAGTTGTACAGTCTTAGTTGTCGGACCTGCTTGGCTGTACGCAGCGGGGTCCTTAGCCTTTGGGAAGATCCAACAATGATCTGCAGCCCAGTAGCTGCCGCGGCATTAGAGTAATACACTCTGATACCGATGCCCTTCGCTTAATCGCTCTCGAGCGATTGCGCATCAAAGTCAAGCTTTATCCAAGACCAGCTAAAGCAAAAGCAGATCTTTATCTTTGGCGTGCGTGGTGAAGCCAACGTTGCAGATTTGTTCACCAAACCTTTGAGTTGGACTGTTACCTTGAAGCACATGTGGGGACTTGGCTTGCGTGACATTGCCGTTGTTGCTTGTGTGCTTGATGGCTTTGTTGCGTTGTGCGGTGCAATGCTTGTTGGTAAGAACCATGTTAGCTTGCGTGACCGTTTTGCCGCCATGCCGCATGCCTCCTGGTTGGTGATTGAATTCTGTGCCCCCGTTGAATCGTCGATGAGAGCGGCTAGCCAGGATCTGAACTGGGTGAACGTGCTTACTGTGAGTGAGCGTGATGATGGTGCCAGTAACCAGACCTTGCTCGAGCTCAAAGCCATCTTTGCTGTGCAGATCAAGAAGAAGGGCTTTGTCTTCTTGTGGGCCAGTACCCCGTGTACCGGAGGCTGCCCATATCAGAGGCTGCGTGCCCGTGATCCAGCCTATCGCCGCGGGCGGTTGGCTCAGCACTGGAGGCTTCACCGAAAGCTCTGGAAAAGCTTGGTCGAGCTTACTAGCTTTGTGCATGCCTGGGCCATTGAGTGGCCACGTGCTTGTGCTTACTGGTCTTGGCGCCAGACTGAGCATTTTCTTTCTTCACGCCCCTACGTCTTGCACGATGTTCCAGTTGATGGTTGTGCGCTTGACATGCGAGGCCGCGATCATCTTCTTATCGCCAAGCGGTGGCGTGTTGTTACAACACACCCAGCAGTTGCTGAGAGCATCCGTGTCTATCGTTGCTCTGGGAAGCATGAGCACTCGAAGGATTTCGACCTCAAGAGTACACAGCACTACCCAGTAGAGCTTGTAAAATCCTTCTTTGAAGCGTTGCGCCCTTGACTTTTTGCGAGAGTCTTGTCGTTGTCGAGGACATGTTGTTGCATGTTTGCTGCGCAGCCTGTTTGCTCAAACTTTCCGGTGTTTTCTTTCTTTGCCAGGACATTTAAGATGTCTCTGGTTCCTTTCGCTGCCGAGCGTGCCATGGTGTTTGGCCTGGCTGTGGAAGTGCAAGAGAAGCTGCTCGAAGTACCGAGTGTCGGGCTTCTCGTTGTTGTGCTTGTCCCACTGCTTGTGGGTGTTGCGCTTGGAGTGTGCTTGCAGAAGCTGCGTACCGAGAGCTCCCGCGTCAAGACTGTGCAGGACCTTCTTTCGTTTCTGCCAAGGTCGGGCCAGAAGATGGCTGTCTTTACTTCTGCTTACGGAGACTGTTTCCACGTGCGTAGAGACTGCCACGGCCTCAGGAACGCGCTTCCGAATCGCATCGCTGCTAAAGTGGCTTGCGAGTACTGTTTAAGGGATCTCCACCTGGTACCTCCGACAGCTACTGCGTCGTGGGGGGGTGTAGAAAACCAGTGCTCTGCCCAGTAGTGTTTTAGGTGCGACACAGAGTTTTTCCTCGGTACCTGTATAGTTGTATAGTTTTGCTAGTTTCAGGTGGTCAGTGCCTGTAGAACGTAGTTTGAGCTTGCGTGACGGTTTTGCGGTAGCCTGGATCTCAGCAGACAAGCCTGCGCCATCTGCGATCCCTTTTTCATAAAAGGACCGCGAGCTTGAAGCGAGCATTTTCAAACTTGGTTTCAAAAACTTGGCATGGCTTGTTTTTGCACGTGACAATTTTTGCATTGACTTCAGCGCATCGCCTCGTTTATTCTTGATGACACAACCTTGGTATGCAGCAGCTCAGTGCTCGAGCTGAGTTCAGAGCCATTTTGGCTCAAGCAGCTCAGTGCTCGAGCTGAGTTGTGAAAGAATTTTCTGTGAAACTTGGGCGTGAGACCCTAACTGCTCCTGCTTTTAACCAGGCCCCCATTTCTGACGTTCCCTCTTAGAGGGTGTGCAGGCTGGTCTCGTGTGACCAGCGGATGGACTCGAGTTGAAAAGGGGGCCGGCTCTTATCACTGCTCAGCCTGAGCTCCGGCAGTGCGTTGCTGGTTTATGAGGGCTCACCGCTTCCATTGAGGATTGAGCTTTCAGCTTTCATGTCCTCCGGCTCCATGCCACCTGCATCTTCTGAAGGTGGGGTTTCTGAGGCAGGTGACAGTCGCCGGAGGGATGCCGCCATGGCCTTTGGGTCGTACGAGGCACATTTGGCTTCTTGCATGCGCAAGTTCAATAAGACTGGGTTTGTCCGATCCTGGGATTTTAAACTTAAGCCTTCTGCCAACTTGTTTGCCGGTATGGCACGTGCCAGCGGGCCCATGCCGCCTGTCATGTCTGTGCCAGTGCCCAAGATGGTGTCTTCCCAGGTTACCGTTGCTTCTGTTGTCAAGCTTGCCCTGGGCAGGGTCAGGCTGCAGGATTCTTGGAGTGTGCACCTTGACAAGAAGCTGCGTGCTGCCATTCAGAAGTGGGTGTCTATCGTCCTTGAGGATCCACTCACCTTTGATGTTGGCCGCAGGTGTGCTGCCGCGTCCTGCCAGGATTCCGCAGTCTCGCAAGGTTTGCTGCACACCTTTTCGGGCAAAGCTGCGGGTACACTGCACAATCGTGCGGGACCGTTGCTCCGTTTTGTGGCGTGGGCCAAGAAGCGGCGTCTCCAGCCGCTGCCACTGAGAGAGAAAGATGTGTATGAGTTCCTGCTTGATTTGGAGGATTCCAGCGCGCCGTCTTTCGGCAAGGCACTCATGTCCTCGTTGGCGTTTTGCAAGTTCGTTTTGGGTGCTGAGTCTTTCTCTGACTCCCTTTGCAGTGGCCGCCTTACAGGGCTTGCGCGTGCCTCTTTTCTTAAAAAGAGGAAGAGGCGACAGAAGCCGCCACTCACCGTTGCTATGGTCAAGAGATTGGAGCGCCTTGTTGTGGATGAGTCAGATAATGATGTTGACAGGCTGTGTGCAGGCTTTTTCTTACTCTGCATTTATCTTCGTGCTAGATACAGTGATGGCCAGGCCCTGATGAATCTGGTTTTGGATGAGCCGGACTCTTTCATGGGACCACTTGCAGGGTACTTCCAAGGTGAGACTTCAAGGACGAAGACCAGTTTCTCCTTGGAGAGGAAAACAGCATTGCTTCCTATGGTGGGGCCATTGTGCGGGGTGGCGTCCGTTCCTTGGTTCAGGACGTGGATGAGCCTTCGTGAGGACCTCGCCATTCCCGAGGGAGAAGATTTTCCTCTCCTGCCCAGCCGTGGTCAGGAGGGCGGATGGTCGGGTGTTCCGCCCACGGCCACTGTAGCAGCTGGTTGGTTGCGCGGGATTTTGTCTGCCAGAGGTTTCCCTGAAGCTTCAAAGCTTGGTACTCACAGCTGTAAGGCTACGACCTTGTCTTGGATGTCAAAGTACGGTGTTGACGCGCTGCACCGGAGGATTTTGGGATATCACAAGGCTCCGCAGGATGAGATGATGCACATCTATGGGCGTGACAATGTTGCGCCTGCTCTGAGGTCTCTTGAGTACGTGCTCGCCGATATAAGGATCGGCAAGTTCCTCCCGGACACCACACGTTCGGGCTATTTTCCAACTGATCCCGAGCGCGAACCAGGTCCGGAGTTCAATGATGAACCGTCGGCCTCGGAGGCGTCACTGGACGAAGAGGACAACGTTCAGGACCTTCGTGCTGAAGAGGCTGCGGCTGATGAGATCATACCGCCTTGGGCCGAGCTAGCTGTGGGAGACCCTGATGCCCATGTGTACATCAGGCACATCACTTCCCGCAAGCTTCACCGTCTCGCTGATGAGGGCGGGAACCGACTTCGCTGTGGGAAGAGGTGCTCAAAGAAGTTCGAGCGTCTTGCTGAGAGGCCTAGGTTTATGGCAGATATGTGCCAAAACTGTTTCAAGTGATTTGCGCACTTGTGGAAGCCGGTACACGCGGTGCTCGCCGGACTCACTCGGTGATGGTTTGATGTGCTTGCGCACTTGTGGTTTGCCGGACTGCGCGGCTTGGAATTGGATGAGCTGGACCCACTCGGCTCACTTGTCAGACCCTTGCGGGTTTCACGATGTGCGTGAGTGCGTGATGCCATCGGTCCACGCGGTGGCACATGTACGAATTTCGGGCACTGGCCTGGTTTTGACGTGGCACCGACTTACTTGTCTGGTGTCATGCGAGTTTTTAGAACATGCTGAACACGAGTGTCGTGTGAAATACTTGCCGGGCGCCGTCAAGTATGTGTGATCGTGCTGAACTTGTGTCCGACAGTCAGCGGTTTGCAAGTGCATTTGTCGTTTGCGGTGAGTGTGCACTTTGGCTGGAGACTTCATAGTGCCTTGACAGGTTTTTGTGCCATGGCCGTCACAGAGAGCAAGGCAAACTTCTCTTCGAGGGCGAAGGCTCTTGGATTGGAGGATCCAGTGCTGGTGAAGTTCGTTGACGCTGGCATTGATTGTATGAGCAAGTATGCTTTCCTGAGCTCATACGTGCCCGGGAGCACGGATGAGAGCCCATTCACTGCTGCCATCGTCAAAGTGCTTGGGCGTGACCCTTCGATTGCGGAGCTCAGTGTGCTTCGCCGCTTGCTGCATGAGAGCTACAACCTAACTGTGTCTGAATTACAATCACAGGTTGAAAGGACCGATGACTCTGCTCCGAGAAAGCTCGCAGCGCCCGACCGGGCCGACAGGTTGCAGCGACAGCAGGTTCGGCTGAGTGGTTTGACGATCCACGGCCCGACTCTTCCGGGTCATGCCGTGATCGATAAGTGCGTTCAGATGTATGAGGATAACGTGCTTCATTACTTGCCGCCTCAGTCGTGCCCTTGCCGTGATGATGAGGTCAAGTTCAAGAAGGATCGCGATGATAAGATGTTGTCCGTTGATGGTGCCGGTCATGTGTCTCTACGCACCCAGGTTGCAAAGGTTGATGCTGATGTGTCCTCAGACCTTCTCCTCAAGCTGGCATTGACCCGTCGAGGTTTGGCCCTAGACCAGGCAGGGATAGTCACCTTTTCGGAGCACGAGCGGTGGGTGGAAGCACTTTTTACCGCGCGTTTCAGGGATCCACCTGACAACTATGCACGTGTGACGCTGCAGCAGCTTATGCAGGCTGATCGGCAGCTGTTTGTTGAAGCAGCAGATCGCACTCGGCATGGAATCCAACTTGTTTCTGACGGCAAGCCAGTTGATAAGATTTGGAACGAGGCAATGAATTGCAATAATGTCACACACCTTTTGCAGCCTTTGGTCGCAGCCCCTCCGGCTCCTTTCAGGCCTGGCCCGTACGATGACCGAAGGCCCTGGAAGGGCAAGGGGAAAGGCAAGGGTAAAGGAAAGAGCAAGAACAATGTCCGTATGCCCGCTGATCTTGCAGACGGAGTTCCATCCACGACTCGCGGATTGCCAATCTGTTTCGACTTTAACTTAGGCCGTTGCCAGAGAGCTGTATCCAATGGGAAGTGTGAGCGAGGACTCCATGTCTGCTGCATCAAAGGATGTTTCAAGAGAGATCATGGATACACGGCGTGTCCCAAACGCAAGAAGGAGTGACTAGGTGTGCAATCCATGGACCAAACGACTGACGAGAAAGATGCTGCGCCGAGCGGTGAGCCTCTCGTGCGCTCTTCTTCTGAATGCAGTGTCCCTGAAGGGGAAGTTTTGCATGCAGGTCCAAATGGGTTGCCTTCCGCTGAAGAATTCGCTTCAAGTCTGATTGGGAAGTGGATTGAACAGGCTGATGTTCTGAAGCTTTTCGATTGCCTCCCGAAAGCTGCGCCGCAACGCGGCTCCGGTGGCGGCATTTCATTTACCACTGGGGCCTTTGCCAAGGTCAAGCTGGGACTCCGGAGCAATGTCGCTGTTTTTCCAAAGTCCACGCAGGTGCTGGCTGCTTTTGTAAGGCAGTCTGCTCCTGCCCACAAGTTCACAACCGTCGTGCTTTTTGATGGTGTTCGCACGGCCCCACATCGTGATCAGCAGAATTCCTTCTTGCCTAATTTGGCCATTCCCTTGTCCCGTTTTACTAAAGGTTCAATTTGGGTGCAATCCAGCAAGGGTCCCCACACTCGGACTGTTGATGGCGCAACCCTTCAAGGGGTGGCATTGCCTGTGTCGGATGGCCCTGTCCTGTTTGATGCACGCAGGCAGATGCACCTCACTGATTCGTGGCAGGGCAGGAGGGTCATTTTGGTTGCTTTCTCTATTTCGGCCTTTGATAAGCTGTCTCTCGAGGCCTCGCAACGCTTGATTTCACTTGATTTTGCCTTGCCAACCGAGCCAGAGGTCGAGCACTTCCGTGAGCACCCACAGCTGCCTGCTCGCCTGCCGTGGCCGCCGCGTTTCCCTCTGCTGTCGAGTGCTTCAGCAACCAAGGCTTTTACCGAGGCGGTGGTTCCCAAAGAACCACTTTTTCTTGAGCTATGTGCCGGCACCGCCATGCTTTCTCGCTGCTTTCGTGAAGCGGGTGTGCCTGTCATGCCCATTGATCACCAGCACAAC